CGTTCTTGTCTATCGATATCAATTCATCATTAAATTTTGCTGTTTAGGTCATTTTTGGTCATATAGCTTTTAAACTGTTTCAGATCATATACATCCTTGGTTTTCATTTATTCGGCTTTGAGCGTTCCTTATGAAGGTCAATCCAAAAAAGCACTTCGGAAGCATGATATTTAAAAAGTTTTTTTTTTTTACAAATCAGCGCCAAAGTTAGACAACTAGGAAAGGAACTTGTATGGAACATCTTTGCCAAGTTTTATTCTGTTCAATGGTTCTTAAGAAAATCAAAATGTGAAAAGTTAATAGATGGATGCTTGATAACTGATGCCAACCGATGTCAAAAGCTATAAAATTACTTGCTTTGACAAGGTGAGCAACTTATTAGCACAATCTAATTAAAATCAAATCTCCGCACTCGCTCATTTGTTTATGCTTGGCCCAAGCATAAAAACTGAGAGAGTGTGGAGATTTAATTCTAATAAGATTGCTTATTAGCATACATTTCCTGCATTTTGTGACATTCCTCAAAAAAAAGAATTCCGATGTAATTTAAAAACGTGAAACTTGCTATATACATATACAACATCTCACAAACACAATTTATGAGCAAAGAACTTGCCAGCTCTAGGGGAAAGGGAGACGAAATATTCAAAATAAACTCATCATAGATACCAGGATTAAAATTTTATATTTACGCCAGACGCGCATTTCGTCTACAAAAGACTCATCAGTGACGCTCAAATCAAAAAATGTTAAAAAGGCCAAATAAAGTACGAAGTTGAAGAGCATTGAGGACCAAAAATTCCTAAAAGTTTGGCCAAATAGAGCTAAGGTAATCTATTCCTGAGGTAGAAAAGCCTTAGTATTTCAAAACGGGATCTTCAAACTCGTTATTCGAAAAACAAACGGACAATGCCATATGGCAAAAAAAATAGTACACAAAACACAACATAAAAGACTAGAGACTGAGCAACACGAACCCCACAAAAAACCGGGGGAGATCACAGGTGCCCCGGAAGGGTATGCAGATATTTCTCCACATATGGCACCAGTTGTGTTGCTCATGCAAGTGCAAACTGGTGATCAGTTTAATTCGGTAGGTCACATTTGAGGAGATGAGGACAGGACTGTGGTTACGATAATTGGAACATATTTGTCTTCATCTGTGAAACGGTCAACCAAGTCGTGATGACGTCCGTAAAATTTTCAAATGGATGATTTCAACTTCACCACTTGGAACTCTTGGTTCAATAGCTTCCTTGTAAGCAGCAATCTAGCTCTATCTAGAAAATCATGATAGGAAATGCAAGCTCTGGAATATCATATCAACTGGGAGATATATACTCCATATGCAGGCGCTGCCGGAATGTTGCTTCATATAGAAATTGAAAATTCACAATTGGGAAGCTGAAATTATCTCTTTTGTTGTAAAGTTTTGTTATCAACCGACCCTCGTTGTCAATTTTTAGGTGTCAATCAAGGTGGGAAGCTGACTTAACTGTATCTGTTGTGTGCTATATTTCATGTTCGATTGGATAGATGCGTTCAACATAGTCACCAACTTTGAATTATTTGGTGAGAGGACATCATCTATATATCGGAACGTGAAGTTAAGGAATAATTCTAGTATCTTTGCATTCTTCCTGAGAAGCTCCTGTATGAAGTCAGCCTAATACAAATAAAGGAACAAGTCGACAAAAAGAAGGGGCACCGTTGGTTCTCATGGAATGTCGATTGTCTGTTGAAAAACACATATCCCTCAAATGTATCAAATATGTTGTCAATCAAGAAATCAAGCATCTTGGTAATGTCAGTTTCAGACAATTTTTTGTTGGAATCAGAGTGATATTTTTACAAAGTACGAGTTGTAAGAAAGATGATAGATACCTTTCTAGTCTTTAGTTTTGTCTAAAAATAACAACTATACAAAAAAGTCTGCATGAGTTCTTCAGCACAGAAAAAGATGTTTCCATATATTCTTTCAATAAAGCACCCCGTCATTCTGTATGATAAAAGGCTGACAACCTGGATAACCATCTCTAGTGCAATATGGATAGCATTAATTTTGAGGAAATGCTCAAAGGGCATACAAAAAATAATAAAATGCTCAGCTGGGCGCAGCTTGATACGACCGCAGAGGTCTACCCTGAACAGTTGGGGCAAGTATGGACACAACATTCAAGCTTGATACACACTGAATTTGGATTGTGATTAAATATTTGACACGGCATAGGTTTCTGACACAGAATGAATGTGGTCTAAGAACTTATAAATTTTTAATTTACCTATTCAAACCATATCATTATTATTTGCTTTTATATATAAATCAGAATTAACCAATTTAAAATGGAAAATTTTAAAGAAAAAAAAAAGGAAAAAAAGGAAAAAAAAAATCCCTCCCCCCAAATTTTTTTGAACCCCCTTATGATTCATCACCCTCCAAACTCAATCCCAGCCTTTCCTTTGTGGTATGGTACCTTGCAGTACAATTTCAGAGAGATCCATACACTTGAACACAAGTTATTGTCTGGAAACTAGAAAAATGCTTATTTTTGGCCCCTAATCCTAAATGTTTAGGACAATTACCCCCAAACTCAAACCCAGCTTTCCCTTTGTGATATGGAACCTTGTAGTACAATTTCATAAAGATCCATACACTTATACACAAGTTATTATCCTGAAACTAGAAAAATGCTTGTTTTTTGCAACTTTTTGGCCCCTAATTACTAAAATTTTGAGGCAATTACGCCCAAAATCAATCCCAGCCTTCCCTTTGTGGTATGGTACCTTGCAGTACAATTTCAGAGAGATCCATACACTTGAACACAAGTTATTGTCTGGAAACTAGAAAAATGCTTATTTTTGGCTCCTTATTCCTAAATTTTTCTCAATTCCAGCTTTCCCTTTGTGATATGGAACCTTGTAGTACAATTTCAGAAAGATCCACACTTACACACAAGTTATTGTCATGAAACTAGAAAAATGCTTGTTTTTTGCCCCTCATTTCCTATTATTTTGAGGCAATTACCCCCAAAATCAATCCCAGCATTCCCTTTGTGATATGGAACCTTGTGGTACAATGTCAGAGAGATCCATACACTAACACACAAGTTATGTCGGGAAGTTACAAAAATGCTTATTTTTGGCCCCTAATTCCTTAACTGTTGGTACCATAACCCCCAAAATCAATCCCAACCTTCCTTTTGTGGTATTGAACCTTATGGTAAAATTTCATAGAGATCCATTCACTTAAACTAAAGTTAGAGTGAGAAAACCAATGTGTCTTCGGTCGACGACGACAACGCCAACGTCATACCAATATATGACCGCAAAATTTTTTTGTGGTCATATAAAAAAATAAAAAACTCACCAAATAAACTTTTAAGATATTTCACTAGTTACTGGATATTCTGGAAACAGTTTTGTGTTTTCATGATCTTATCTCATTTAGTGTGGAAGAAGTTTAAGGATAGTAATTTTTTCGTCTTTTTTACCCCCTGGGTTATCATAAACATTCCTACACCATTGGTCAAACTTGCATTTATACTAGGACTTGTGATTCAAGTTACTAACTAGTTCAAATGATTTCACTAGAAGCTTAGCAGACATGTTTAACCCATAATTCTGGCCTCAAGTGTTAGATGCATGATTTTTTATTAGTTTTAATTGGCTTTGAACTAGCTGTCAGTAACTGCGAGTACTCTCAGATCTGTACTTAGTGTCTCTTTTGTTATGGTGATGTATAAAAACCCTGCCACGTCTGGTCTGTGTTTTTGTTAGATGTTTTTCTGCTCTGTATCAATCTGATGAGTTAAGCCCTTTTCAACTGATTTTTATAGTTTGTTCTTATGTTGTACTGTTACACCACTGTCCCGATTAGGGGAAGGGTTTGGCTCCAACAAATTAGTTTAACCCTGCCACATTATGTATGTGCCTATTCCAAGTCAGGAGCCTGTAATTCAGTGGTTACTGTTTATTGCTGTAAATCATATTTGTTTTGCGTTCATTGTTTTAGATGTAAATCAGGCTGTTAGTTTTCTCGTTTTAATTGTTTTACATTTGTCATTTCAGGGCCTTCTATAGCTGACTATGCGGTATGGGTTTGGCTCATTGTTGAAGGCAGTATGGTGACGTATAGTTGTAAACTTCCATGTCATTTGGTCTCTGGTGAAAGGTTGTCTCATTGGCAATAATACCACATCTTATTTTTATAAATATTAAAATTCAATGTTGATTGGTTGTTGATTGCTTAATGCCCAGTGGCAATTATATGTGAATTTGCAACTGTGCAAAGTATAAAACGGTTACTTTGAGAGGCTTAATTAGAACTTGCCTGGTAGTATAGGCCATAATATTGTTTGAAAGCTATATTTTCCAACAAACTAACAAATCAGTTTAAATTAGCCAATGATGATGAAAATTAATAGTGTGATGACTATTACATCTACCTGCAATATTGATGAAGGTTACAGTGTTTCATGCTAATCAGGGCATTTACATAATTAAATGCAATGTCTAGTCTCAATGTTGATATAATCGGAAGATAGAAATTGGAAAATATTCTTTTGATACTCAATATGTGTGCCCCTTTGTCTTGTCAACATCAGTCAACTGCTTACCCATTCAGAACACATAAGTTTATATCTGGTTTTTGGTAGGGTTTATTTTGTTGCTTATTCTTTGGTTTTCTGTGTAGAGTTTTGTGAACTATAATCCTTTTTTTTACTTTACTCTTTTGGCCCTAGTGTTGTCTGTCTTTCTAAAAGTTGTATTTTTTTATTGCCCCCTTCGTATCTTCTTACTTTTAATTCTTACATTAGGTACACATGTTCTAGTGATAATTTAATGCAACTTGTGAATGTAGAGTTTAGCTCAAACTTCTATGTGGTACAGTAATAAAAGCCTTGCTCCGTTTCTAAGTTGTTATTTGTATATAGTGGGTTTTTTTTAAGTATTTTCTCCAAATTGATATCAAATGGAAAATAGGATAATAATAAAACACACAATTTTAGAACCATTTATAAGGCAGAGAAAAATAAACAGAAAAAAAATCAAATAATTTAACAAACTGGATTTCATATATAACAGATGCATATTAATAACTTCAACAAATTAATGTATATTATTGCTATAAACTGTTAAGGCTCAACAAAATAAAATAAAAAATATAGAAAACATTAACAGAAAATAAATGTAAATATCTAGATATATCATAGAAATTAATATCCTTATTCATGAAATATTAGAACAACCTGATAAATAATAAACAAAATAATTTAAAACACCCCCAAAAAATATTGTTACATAAAAACATATAGCCATAATTTACTGGTATAAAAATTAAGTCAAAAGTATATACCTGTATTTTATATTTTTACACCTATCAATACACTGTATTCCAAAAACATCTGAAACCTTCTAGATAAAATATTCATAAAGCGTTCCGTAGAACCCTGTGTCGGTCTGCCACTTCTTACTCCTGCTGTTAGTATAAGAGTGTAATGATGACAGCCAAAATTAAGATATGTCAATCCATTGTCTTGTAATATTCCAAGAAGCATTGACATGTTAATCAAAGTTTAAAAATCTTAAACCACAAATCATACCTAAATTTTGACTGCAAAAAAAGAAGAAAATCCATTTATTTAAAAAATATGGAAAAAGTTGCAAAAAAAAAAGAGCTTCTGTTCAAATCTCCTAGTTTGAAAAAGGTATTAATGCTGTAAAATCTTGAACCCTAGACTGTCCCTAAATTCAAACTTAAAAAAAATAAGTCCATTTATCAGAAAACTATGGAAAATGAAAGAAAAATACAACATAAGGCTGCAGATGCTATCTATTGATTATGAAGAAGCTCATGTCATATTGAAATCTAAATATAAAATTTACTTTGAAGTTGTAACATTATGTTGCATTTAGGAATAATTATAAATCTTTAAATTGCAATTTTGAAAGGATTTTTCCTTAAATTCTTATATTTCTCCTAGAAATCTTTGAAGAGAAAATTCTTAACCAAAACATATTTTCTACCAGCTGAAGTAAATCTATATAGTACCTTTCAGATACAAGTTAAGTCTTAATGATAAACTTTTGAATCTACAGGCCAGAAGTTGAATTTTACAAAAAATTTAGTTGGATTCTATTGGCCTGTAGAATTGATTTTTACAGGCCCCACAGCAATTTTACAAGCCTGGGCTGGTGGGCCTTAGGTTGAGCGCATTTTTGTTATGGATGTCCTTCAATTGATTATTTAACAGGTGAAATTTGTAATATTGTATCAAAATTGCCTGGAACAGCAATCATGATATACAGCATTGAATAATGAATGAACTTTTTCTATCTGAATGATTATAACTATGGATACATATAAATCATTAAGCATACATTCTCCAACAATTCTGTACACATTTTACACATACAAACACATTAACATCATTTTATATATTTTTTTTCATGAAAAACAAATTTTATAGAGAAAAGAATGGAAAAGTGAGAGTTTAAAAAAACTTATCTGTTTGCGTAAAAAATTAAAAACTTCACCTTTTGTTCCTTTGCTGGAATTTTCAGTGGCAGAAAACATAGGGCAGGTTTATGCATTTTAAATGATTTGATTACGTAAAATGCAGAAAATCAACAACTTGATTAACAAAAAAATGACACATTGACATAAGATCCAAAGAAAGAAAGGTTTTCTCAATTTCTAAACACAAATTTGTTCATCACGCACATGTTAACAATTACTTTGTATTCAATCAAGTTAAAATATATTTTTCATTAAAAAAAATAATTAATCGTCTTTAATTGTCTCAATATTTGATATATCAAAAAGTTTTATCCAGGTCTCTCTTATTGACAAATAATTTTTATTTAGTAGCAACTTGATACAAAATTAAAAGAACCACAGCCAAGCAAAATTTGTAGGCTCAAATGCTACCATAACATATGATAGAAGACACACTTAAGAAGTAATTCACAATGTGTGCAAGTAAGCTTAGAAATTGAATGGGGGTACCTACACATAGACATCTTTTTAAAATTACATATTTACATACAATAATCACGCATTGTATAACATAGTATATAATAAATGACTAATATATCCAATACCAATATGTTTATGTATAATTACACTTTAAACAATTTATGCATACTGAATACTGAATTCCACAGAACATATGACTGTCAACACATTGAATATTTAAACTGTATGCATTTTATTGTAGTTTAATATGTTGATGCAAATACATATATGGGCTGTGGAAATAGCAGTTATGCATGGATTTCAGAATCTGTGGTCATAAGCTGTGTGTATAATAGTAAACCAATAGAAAAATTTTCTTAATTGGAAATCTAATTCTTCAATTTAATATAACCATGAGGTCTATGATACTTCACTAAGAATAATAGTTACATCACAGTATAAGAACCAAAATCGTTGGTCTACAAGGCACTTGTAAAATTAGTCATGGTATTGTTAGTCTTTCTTGATTTTAAAATTAAAGCTATACAAGTCTAAGAAAGATTAACAATACCATGGCCAATTTTTACAGGTGCTTGGTAGACCAACAATTATGTTATTATAGTATTAGTTCTGCACTGAAGGGATTTCCTTTTTAGTGGTAACTGAAGACCCTAAAAAGGAAATCCATTCAGTGCTGAACCAATACTATAATAACAATTTTGCTTTCTATTTTTGTTCTGTTTTCCTGACAAAGTATATGTAATACATTGGTATTTGATCCATTTTTTCAGGATCTGAGAACGATTTTAGCATACAAAAGGTTTGTTAGAGACAATTAAAGGAAAGTTAATGAAATTGAAAATTAGAATTACATTTTTAGGTGATATATGTTATTTCATGTTTAGGTTTTCTACATAGAACAAATAATACATAATCACAAAAGGATAAATTATTAAACATGTTAAGGCGTAAATATGCTTGATTCTAATCGTTATATTTCCATGAAAGTATTTGGTTTTAGATGAGGTTTTAATTATGTCATTTGTTGGGCTATACTTGAGCAAAGGACAAATATCTAAATTGGTATAATTTCAATACATCTCAAAAAAATGTGATAAATGATAAGATTAATATATTTCTGTAGGCAGAGGTGAATAAATGTACTTCAGAATACAGATGAATGCTTTAAACATGTCAGGCAGACACAATGACCTTGGCAGTTCAAGGATGCAGGGATTCAGATGTCAAAAATCAGCATTAGTAAGTTTTTATGGTAATGGTAATGATATGAATCATTATGGATACAACAAACAGTTGTACAACTATTTTATAGCAATGAATAATTAAGTAACGTAAATAACATATAACTCAATAAATATACAAAATATATATAATAGCTTTGGAATAAGGCACTTGTCATTGGAATGTTAAAGAAACTAGTAAATAAACCCTTAAAATTCCAAGTCACTGTAACAGATATATGGAAATAACTTGTCAAAAGTATAAGTCTTGCATAATCATTAAAATATTTTATAGAATTTTAAATCTATTTCATGCCATCTAATTCTTTACCCAATAATTGGAAGACTAGTTATGTGGAAGACAATTGTGTTTCTGAAAATGATATTAAATCTGTAAAAAAATAGTCAAGTTTCATGTATTATCTATAGTTCACTCAGCAATCAACAAAGCCACTGATTAACTGTTGGTGTCAACATCTCACTTTTGAAGACTATAGCCTGATTATATAAAAATATTGAGAATGTAAGCTCAAATTGACTTGGTTAGTTCTAAAATTGTTGATACATTTTTTGGAAGTTTGAAACATTGAAAGATTTTACGAATTTATTCTTAAATGTTATGTTCTGTTGACCTGATATCCCAAAACTTTGACATTTTTTGTTCTTTTTGCATTAAAGGGTACAACAAATACTTAATTAAACTAGAGGCTCTAAAGAGCCTGTGTCACTCACCTTGGTCTATGTGCATATTAAACAAAGGACACAGATGGATTCATGACAAAATTGTGTTTTGGTGATGGTGATGTGTTTGTAGATCTTACTTTACTGAACATTCTTGCTGCTTACAATTATCTCAATCTATAATGAACTTGGCCCAGTAGTTACAGTGGAAATTATTTTGTAAAAATTTACAAAAGTTTACAAAATTTATGAAAATTGTAAAAAATTGACTATAAAGGGCAATAACTCCTTAAAAGGGTCAATTGACAATTTTGGTCATGTTTGACTTATTTGTAGATCTTACTTTGCTGAACATTATTGCTGTTCACAGTTTATCTCTATCTATAATAATATTCAAGATAATAACCAAAAGCTGCAAAATTTTCTTAAAATTACCAATTCAGGGGCAGCAACCCAACAACATGTTGCCTGATTGGTCTGAAAATTTCAGGGCAGATAGATCTTGACCTAATGAACAATTTTATCCTTGTAAGATTTGCTCTAAATGCTTTGGTTTCAGAGATATGAGCCAAAAACTGCATTTTACCCTATGTTCTATTTTTTAGCCATGTCTGCCATCTTGGTTCGCGGGCGGGGTCATCAGACACATTTTTTAAACTAGATACCCTAATGATGATTGTGGACAAGTTTGGTTAAATTTGTCTTAGTAGATTCAGAGGAGAAGATTTTTGTAAAAGATAACAAAAATTAACAAAAAATGGTTAAAAATTGACTATAAAGGGCAATAACTCCTTAAGGGGTCAACTGACCATTTTGGTCAAGTTGACTTATTTGTAGATCTTACTTTGCTGAACATTATTGCTGTTTACAGTTTATCTCTATCTATAATAATATTCAAGATAATAACCAAAAACGGCAAAATTTCCTTAAAATTACCAATTCAGGGGCAGCAACACAACAACGAGATGTCAGATTCATCTGAAAATTTCAGGGCAGATAGATCTTGACCTGATAAACAATTTTACCCCGTGTCAGATTTGCTCTAAATGATTTGGTTTCAGAGATATAAGCCAAAATCTACATTTTACCCCTATGTTCTATTTTTAGCCATGGCGGCCATCTTGGTTGGTTGGCCGGGTCACCGGACACATTTTTTTAACTAGATACCCCAATGATGATTGTGGCCAAGTTTGGTCAAATTTGGCCCAGTAGTTTCAGAGGAGAAGATTTTTGTAAAAGTTTACGGACAACGGACGCCGGACGACGGATGCCAAGTGATGAGAAAAGCTCATTTGGCCCTTTGGGCCAGGTGAGCTAAAAAGCATTTAGTCATCATGTCTTCTTTCTACATGGAAATTTAAAGCAAGTAAAGATACAAATGGTCTCTGCTAGATACAGAAATGTGCTTGGATTTGAGCCTTTTTCTATATATTATCCCATTCAGTGTTTATAAAAAATGTAACTTTATGAGCAAAAATACTGATTAAGTTGTTTTTGATTTTCATTCCAGTCTGAATAAAAAGACTTTCCTATCATATGCATTCATCATATACACAAAATATTTTCACTTTTCACAGCAGAGTTCAGCACATTTTATCATAAGGAGAAATAAGACTATAGAGTTCTGCCAATAAGATGATTTGTAGTACATATCTAACAAATCATAATGGCAAAGGAATATATATTTTCATATATGATCAAATTATCCAATATCTAACTCCTAACAGGTGCTGTGTTGTGTTTAAAATAATGAAAAAAATTAAAGTCAGCAATGACTTTTTGAAGAAATATTATAAAAATCCTATTTAATCCTATTTTTAACTAAGTGCAAGAATGATAACTTCTTTTCCTTAAAAGATGAAGTCTTCAATTTTCTTATCATACACAGATTGTCTCCCATCTCTTCAACTTGCAAAAGTTGTCTTTTTTTTGGAGAACTTTATCTTTTGTTCAAATCAAATTATCGGTAATCACAAAAAGTGAAAAATATTATTGTTGAATATTAAAACAAAAATGAAAAATGTCCATGGTCAAGTCAGTTGTCCAAAATACAACCACCATGAAAATACTTGCCCAAAAAGCAAAAACAAGTACAATGCAATGGGAATAGTCAAAATCTATGTTAAATCTACAAATTGTGAACTAGTAATTAATCTACTGCATTTAAATATACAAATACTTTCAATCATGAGATTCACTGAAAAATAAATAAATACAATATTCAACCATTTGACATCTGAGCATGTATATCGAGCCAAAAAATATAAATCACAACCCTTATTTAACTACACAGTTGAGTAGATTTATTTGCATATAAATATGATTTTGAATTGAAATTCGGTGTAAATGGACCATTAAATAAAGAAATAGACATTTGATCACAAACCTGATATCCATTATTATTTACGGGTAACCTTTCACCTCCTATATATTCATCTTCATGCATAGCAGAAGGATATTTACAAAATTATATTCCCAAACACCCAAGATATAAGTATTACAGTAAGATAGTCATGTATGTAATGTTTATTACTGTGTGATAAAATGAATCTAACAAGTTAAATTGTTTGGAAATAAGTCATTATAATTGTTGTATCTAGAAATTATTATAAGACATCCAACTTTAACATGTTTAAAATATGCCTTGTTATTGTAAAACCAAAAGAAAGTAATGAAACGATTTGATCTTATCATGAACTCCATACTTTATATGTACATGTATGACCACCTGCCACACAAATACACATGTACAAATGTATGGAACAGAATCTGACTAATATATATGGTCTGCATCTACTTTAAAGTATAAACAACAGTGTAAAATTTCAATAATCTTAACTTTAAATATAAAAAATACATCTTGAAAAATTATATTGAAGTTGTATATTGTCCATTATGCTTCTTTCTTTTATTCACTCTGATTTTTTCATCCAGTTTTCAGAGCATGTTCTAACCAATCATCATCACTGTCAGAGTTTACGTCTTCTGATGTTAACAGACGGGTGTATTTAATCTCACTAACGGCTGGTCGAGCACAACATCTGTTCATGATTACGAATATTGGACACCACGATATTGCAATGACTGCACATGCTCTAAATAAAATGTTCACTCCATAATAATCATAGATGATACCTGATAAGATGCTACCGGCTGAAAAACCCACACCAAAATATATGCTGGAGAAAACTGACCTCACCCCTCTGTCCACAGTAGGATTTGAACTAAAGACTGGATTACTAAGGACAGCATACCACATGACAGTATGCGTGAAGGCATGAGTCATCTCAGCAGGAAGAACTGCCCAAGGTGTCCATAAATACGAGTAGAAGAGGGTTCTGCCAGCCAAAAATGTCATTGATAGACAAACTGCCATTCCATTTCCAAGCTTCCTCACAAGTGGCCCACTGAAGAACAGCATTGGTATCTCTGCCAGATTGGCAATAGACACACAAAGTCCCATGGTTAATTCCTTTCCATGTAAATCTTCAATCAGCCAGAACAGATAGTTGTTATAGGAAGCATATATAGCCCCTACTATCAAGAGTGTTAAGATATAAAATAGTCCTTCACATTTACAGCAGGTCAAACTTAATGCATGAGTAATTTTTGTTTTGTACTTCCTCTTTTCTGAACAGGAGGTAGGGTAAAAGAATGCTACCAGGAATGTTAGTCCCAGGAATCCGCCAAACATGTAGAAGTGTAGAGATATTGGATGCATTCTCAAACTGAATAGACATGTTGTATTGTCAACTATCACAGTTACAATGATAGGAAAAATAATGAAGGCTAAAGATGTAAATATTCTTTGTTTTCCATACTTCTCCAAGTTGTCAATTTTTTCTAAAAATTCAAACCATGCATCATCAGCGATCTTTTCTACAGGAGATGCAAAAACTTCGCCAAACACCAAAGTAAGCAAAAGGATTAAAAATATCTGACCCTCAACTTCTGCTTCAGTTATTTTAACAGTCCATGCAGTTTTCAATGACTTTAAATTAGTTTTGATATTTTCCCAGGTGTCTTTTAAACTACGCTTTATAATTTTCTTTCTAACTTTAATTTCCCCATTATTAATAGCATCCACAGCTTGATCAAGGAAAGTAAAAAATTCTTCCATTTCCTCTGGAGATAAACTTTGTCTTATGGTAGTTTGCCAGTTTTTTTGTGTCAGCATGTCTTGGAATAAAGCTATCATGTCCGAGTTGCTTAGGCCATCCACATCCGTCTTTGACAATCCTAATTCTATAAGCAATTTTCTTCCATAATCAAATATTTTGTTGACCTTCTTTTCGTTTTCTGTAGTTGTCGTTGGGAGGTCAGTTGGCTGTAGAGGTGATTTTGAAGTTTTTGTTTGAGAAGTGATATTACCAGTTTGATTTAATTGTAATGGGGTTTTTGTGGGCAGCAGGTCTGTTCTGTTAGTTTTAATGTTTTGCAGTAATTCCTTTAAGGTTCCTTTCATATTCCCTGGTGGAACATCTCCAGGACAAGCTGTGGCAGCATGATTAACATTCATCACAAGTGTAAGTCCAAGATAAGTCAACGCCATCATAAATATTGAAAACATCAGAACAAGTCTCCTTTTTCGGAATTTAGCTGAACACAAGGCCCATAGTGGTGCAAAAATGAAGGCTGATATTGTTTTTGCGCCTATGATTATACCTGTCTCTGTAGCTGTTAATCCAAGCAGTCTCAGATAAAGTGTCAGGAATGGAAATAAACAAGATTTAGCTGCAGCAAACAAAAAGTTAAATGTGTTACATACAAACACTGACTTTATCAGATTGACTGGTTCCGTAATCTCCATTTTATCCATCAGCTTCTCTTTAACCCACCTACAAAAATAATACAGTACCGTTATCATCTTTTATGCAAATTTAATATATATATATAATTATAACCAAATAATTGTTAAAATACACATGGTGATGTTTTTTGAGTTTTTGCTGTCTAAACATGCTAAATGTCATTTAAAATTGAGTAGAATTGTTTAATTTCAAGGATTTACAATGTCAACAGTCACCCTTTAGTTTGTAAGGAAAGTTGAAAAACTTCATCGAAGAAGTGTTTTATCAATTCACTTGTCCCAAGGCTCAATTAGGTAGTTTACTTTTCAGGAGTCACACTTGTATTATTGCTTTGCATCATGTTGCAGCTATTAGTTTCATATGATATTCACACCATCTTGAAATTATTATGCAAAATAAATCTATTCTTATTGGTTGCCTTAAGTTATGATGGAGGAAAGATTCTATTGGCTAGAATGAGATATAGAATTGGGAACATGTCCCAGACAGGAGAAGACTTTAATTATGGAAATAAATCAGTATGGGTATTCAAGATCCAATCCGAATGCCTTTACGGGTTTACCTTGCTATATGTCACGTCAAATTCATATATATAAATAAGAGGAGGGACAAAGATGAACAAGTTTCTGAGTGGTCATCTTACTATATATGAATATACACCAACACTTAAAATACCCGAATGCCTTTACTGGTTTATCTTGATATATGTCACGTCAAATTCATATATATAAATAAGAGGAGGGACAAAGATGAACAAGTTTCTGAGTGGTCATCTTACTATATATGAATATACACCAACACTTAAAATACCCAAATGCCTTTACTAGTTTATCTTGATATATGTCACGTCAAATTCATATTGATAAATAAGAGGAGGGACAAAGATGAACAAGTTTGTGAGTGGTCATCTTACTATATATGAATATACACCAATACTTAAAATACCTGTTACTGCCAATGACCTTCAAGGATTTTGTCAAAATACATGTGATCCATATGTTATAAAACCAAATAATATAGAAAACACCCAGCCTCGCCAAGAGCACATGATACCCCCGAATTGTGCATTATAATTGTTGTGATAATGATGTGGAATATTCAGATGACATCTAATAACAAGCTAGTAAAATGGCTGTGTAGAAAAACATGCAAAATGAACAGTATCCTTATGCAAATAAATATTGCGTCAGAAATGACTATTAAAAGTCCAATAACTCTGGCACAATAAATCATAAATTTTCAACCAAAAAGCAAATCTATATTCTCCCATAACAACAACATAGTAAAGTGTATGGTAAATTGATCAAAGCATACTAGATCTAGTGCATTACACGTAGAACAATACCTATTATTAATCTGACCATCAAAGTCCCATAACTGTGGAATGACAAAATATAAATTTTCAAAATCAAACCATATCTCTGAAATGATGCAACCAAAGAATTTGCAAAATCAAAATGAAGCTTTCTTCTAAATTTTACGGTGTGATGTTGATTACCGTGCCGAAAATGTAATTAGATCTTTGAATATTGTTTTAATTGGTATAAATATTGATTTTGTTATCAGTAAATTAAATCCAGACTAAATATTATTGTTATAACATATGCACATTCACGTTTCTCCAATCTGTTGATACCTATATTTTGGCATGGCACAAGGTCATGTTTTTCTCTGACTGTTAATGATGTCATTACACTAAATCCATTAGATATTGCATGTGTACTGATCAATATTTTAGTCTAAGATACATCAGGGATCTTCATGGATGAAAATTTAATGATGGAGAAACTTTCACCATGACAAAACCCAGTGTCTACCGCATGAAGAATAACCAATATTTTCATTAATTGTCATTTGTAACAATTCCAATGTCAAGCCTGCTTGACTCCCCCTTAGTCATTGTTGAAGGCCGTACGGTTGCCTATAATTGCTTACATCCACTTCATTTGAACTTTGGTGAAAAGTTGTTTCATTGGCAATCATACCACAAATCCTTATTTCTATATTCTATCAATTCTTATGTTCCTTTTAAGTTTGTGGGAATTGGCAAATCAACTTCGTATAGGATATATTCATGGATGAACTACAGTATACTCTAATACATCACATCTAAGGCGGGCTTAATAATACCACACTTATGAGTATATACATAAATTAGATAACTAACACTTTTCTAATACTTAAACAACTACATAAACCACATCTTACTTAAATGTATGATACAGCAAAGCACTCCAAAGCTTTTAAGAAAGCTAAAACTTGTTTCCATTATATGTATGTAAAAAATTCCTTATATTTATTTCTGTATTTAATGAGAGGTTACTCTTCTTTATTTATTAGATTTTTTTGGAAAATAATAACTAGCAGAAAATATATTGCTTTCGTTATTTCTGTGGAAAAACATGTAGGTCTTACCTAGAGCAATTGATATGATTCTTTCATTAACATTTGTTGTATGATTCATCATGAAATTTATATTTGAATGTGAGAAACTAATTGCTAAATGCATGCTGGAAGCATGGAAATTGAGTCTCTTTTGTCATAGACTAAGGCCCTCAGACATGTCAGAATTCTAACTAAAACTTTGCTCTTATTAGGCTCTTAAGGGAGCATTATTGTAGAAGGGTAGATTTGGGTTGTTCAAATTTCCCCTAAAAAAAAGAAAGACCTTCGTCAATATGGCAGTAGATAGCACTCATTTTGTTTTTTTTCCTTTATTTTTTGTATCTTTTGTTAAACATCAAGGAGCATTCAATTTCCCACAAAATTTTTACATGTATCCGTGGAGTTATCCGAGTATACCATTTTTCACAAATTTGTATCTGAGTAGCATATTTCCCGTAAAGCATATGATTTTCTTCAAATTTGCATATCAGATTACCGAAAAGACCAAATGCAGGTTCTTTTTTATGAGTGAGTTACACCACTTGACCCCAGATTAATAGGCTTAATTTACACAATACAATGAACAATCAAATATAGAGATGATAGACAACTTTCACTTTCATGAATTTTTCTATAATTTCAAATGTTGCAATGCTTATGTTATTACACCAAATTAATCTTGAGGGGCTTCGGTGGCTGAGTGGTCTAAGTTGTTCATCTACTGAAAATGTACTGTATCACTAACATGTCAACACTGAGGTTGTGAGTTCCAACCCCATACATGGCAGGTGTGTATTATTGACTCCAATCTTAATTGACTAGGAATGTCAGTTTATCTGCTAAGGTCTGTGGTTCATTCTGACTTCCTCCAACAATAAAAATTGACCACAACAAAATAGTAAATTAGTACTGAAAGTGGCGTTTAAAACCAACAATCAATCAATCAAATAGTGTTTGATTGGTCAATGACATTTGTATGTTATTTAAACCAATTGATTTCAGGTCAAGTGTTGTTACTCCTTAATTAACTCAAAACTGGTCTTATAGTTATAGCCGAAGGCGAAGCCTGGCGAAGGCAAAAATAAGTTTGGTCAACATATTATTATTTATTAAATAAAAAGGGAAACTAATGTAACATTTAACTTGCAACAAATGCAACAGATTGCTGAATTCTAAGTTTGTAATTTGGTCGCAGGAAAGTGCATAGCATGTGTTTTTGCAAACTTACTTAGTTCATTTCTATAAAAAGTTTTTTTGTAAAGCAACACGACGTCAACGGTTCTGTGTACGGATATGTCGTAAAATACTTTGAGATGGTGTAAAAAAAAGTTATTTTTTATCATCTTTATGATTGAAAAATATATTAAGGTGTAAGAGTTCCTATTATTTTGAATTCTTAATGCATTTATCTATCAATTAGTAGGAAAAAAGAATTATTTCGTGATTAAAATGTTTATTTACGCATTTTTACGACAATCAATGCCAGCGTGTACCTGGAAACATGGCCGAAGCATCATCTGCTCGTCCACTTGTCGAGCCCAAACAAGTAGAAGAAAAAAGTATGGATGACGAACCAGTGCTAGAAATGAACAGATATGTAGAAGATGAAAAGTCAAAAAAGAAAGTTTCATTTACTGAAACAATAATGCCATTTGAGAAACCAGAATTCAAACCAGGAGCAAATGAAATGGGCTCTTCTGAAGAGATGTTTCAACAGGTTAATTTCTTAACAGAATTTTTCACAAAATTATCACTGTCCCACATGAGAACAAACAGAGCTAGTCTTGGATCTTGGCTCCCAGTAGAGCTAGGCAAAATACAATTAAATAAACTATGATAATTTTGTTCATCCAGTAATATATTCTCGTATTTTGGATATTTGTGCTATTTAGAATGAATTGTGAAGTCACAATTTCCATTGAAAAAAACATGCATGGTACGAATTCATATGACTTACGAAAACATATGATCTGACTGTTAAGCCATTAAATGTAAGGAAATGAGGTATGATTGCCAATGAGACAGCTATCCACCAGAGTTCTAATTAAAGTGGATGCAAGTCCATTTGCCTAACATTATGTTAAAAAAATTATGTGGCTTAATTTACCAGATGAAGGAAATACTGGTCTTGAAGGTACTTTTTTATGTGGGTAGAATCCATTTTGAGAGACCAAATACACTCTTGATTACAATTTACATTCATAACATTCCTATAGATGACCCAAATTTGTGTATTTCTGGTACATTTCCTGTGTAACAATGCTTACATTGTATGTTATTACGTCACAGTAAGAACTGATTGTTCCATAGGTCAACCATTGTAAGTTATCCATCAAAAAACAACTTGTGATTGGTGTTTGACAGCTGCGATAAGAAACTCTCTTTATAAGACTTGTTAAGTTAGAACCAATAACATATTTTTTGGCCGATTGTTTTGGCTAATATAAGTATCAAAGAGATTTACTGTTCTGTATTTACATGACATGTAGGTAGTGACTATTTAAATGCACGACTGAGGTGTATTCAATAGTGTTTTGCTACACTCCTGTATCATTGTCCTTAAAATTTACAAATTTGTTATCCTTTATAATTAAATGCTCAAATCCTTCTGAATCCAAACAATATCTGCTTTCCAACAGTCACTTTAGTATTGTTGTTCCAGATTTGATAGTTTCTTTATTTCTATTGGCAACTGTTGCAACTCATGCCGTCTCTTTCATTTCATCCAAACATCATGGCATAATCATGTCAGCGAAATGGTTGTATAAGTCGCTAAAATTTTGAAAATAGTTAAAACTGACTGACGACCACTGACTTTATATTTGAAAATGAACTGTTTTCATTATCCATTATGCTTGTGGCTACATTTTATCACACCTCTCCAGAAATGCCAGACAAATCTTTTATTTATCCTTAACAGATACACCACTGGATAGTTTTCCCCAATATTTTCACAAATAATAATACAAATTTTCCTTACTTTTAATGGGGTCTGCTAAAGGGGAAGTACTTCATTTTCCTTTATTGGATGCTTGTTGAAGGCATTTACTGGTAGCAGGTTGTCAATTGCTGACATCTTTACATGTATATGGCAGGAGGTATCTAGTTTGTCACAAGTTTATTGAAACTTGATTTTGAAATTCACACAAAAATCTATGATTTAGAATCTTGAAAATATAACTAATTCATGTTGATATACATTATAAAAATAAAAATATGTGGTATGATTGCCAATGAGACAACTCACCACCAGAGACCAAATGAGGCAGAAGTTAACAACTATAGGTCGAAGTATAGCCTTCAAAACCATTACGACATAGCACATGTAGTAAGCTATTTTAGGCCCAAAATGACAAATGTGAAACAAATTCAAACGAGAAAACTAACGGTCTCATTAATATGTACAAAACAATAAATGAAAAACAAATATGATAAACAGCAACAAACAACAACAACTGAATTACAGGCTCCTATCAACCTTGGAATAAAAGGTATTCAGTTGTATAAACATTAGCACATCTCATTTCAATGGAAAATATTTGGCCCCATCCCCTCAGTCATGGCCTATTGACTTTGAAACTTTTGCTTAGTTTACATGTATTAGTTTGTGATAAGATCAGTTTAAGATGAACTGCTAATGTTAAGTCAATGATATTTGGTATGCAAATTTATTGGCATTTGTAAGTATTGTTTCCATGGAGATTATATAGCTCCACCCCCTCTTCATGGTTCATTGACTTTGAAACTTTTACATAGTTTACAAGTTAATGTAATGTTTTTATGTATATTTTCAGATGTTTATGGATCCCATGATGAAAGATTTAAATAGACATGTACAGGCCAATACAGATATACTGGACAAGATCAGCAAGTATGTACACTAATTCTCTAGTCACATGCTACTGAAGATTTGAAGACCTGAAAATGCTTTATTGATTTGTATTTATTTAGTGATGGGTCAAAGGTTACTCTCACTACTCCTTTCTATTTGATTTACATACATCACTTTATTTAACAAGTATTTTGAAGTTGTCACAGAATAGAAGGGATATGGTTTGTTAATTCATGAAACAAAATCACTTCAAGCACTTGACAATACCCGAAGCAGTGAAACAGTGCTTTATTGCTGTTCTTCATCTCTAAGTCACAATATACAGAGCAAAAGCTGACACCTAACTGCATGTTCAAGACACCACCAGGACCAATTTGAGAGGATTTTTTTGCTACATGTTGACAATGCTACACCTGTGCATTAAATACTTACACATCTGGGGGTACAAATTTTAAACTACTGTGGGTTCATTATTACTCATTGGATAACAATTTTCGTGGATTTCATGGGTACAAGTAAACCATGAACTTAAATATTCAATGAATTGCCAAATTCTATTAGGTTTATGTAGACTTTGGCAAAACCACAAAATCAAATATCCACAAAAATGCAAATCTTCCTCAATTCTCAAAAATTGTTTACAAAATTTATTTCACATTTTTTCCAGTTTGACTACACTTCTCAATATGACAATCATTAGAACTCAGTTAGATATGAAATATATATATTTTCTAGTATATCAAGTTATATGTGCAATAGTATCATAATTAAGATAAAAGTCATTTGTTTGACTCCAGCTTGAAATCAGACAAAACTATACTGTTCCTATTTTTGATGAGATCAGTATATTTGATTGTTACAGATTGATTTTATTGTCAACAATCCAGTACATGGTTACCAAGTCAGGAATATGACAGTTGTTATCCATTCGTTTGATGTGTTTGTTTTTTTGATTTTGCCATTTGATTGGGGACTTTCCTTTTTGAATTTTCCTCGGCGTTCAGTATTTTTGTGATTTTACTTTTTACAACCTGATATATAAAAAAAATTAAAACCTGGAATATTAGTTTCATTGGTCAACATATAAATGCCAGTGCTCAGTCAATTGTTTTTGTATGATGTAAAATTGAGAATAGGAAATCATTAAAAAAGGATTGAAAATGCATGATTAAATGTTGCTTTAAATTTAAAACAATGACATTTGATATGATATGATTGCATTACATTAGGTGTAACTTGAACAGAACATGTTTATGTTGCCAGTTTTTATAACGAAATACTGTGAACAAATATTATTTAGTGAATATTTATATCACGTTTAGCACTTTCTAGCTTACTTGAATAGATTTTTTCCCCCCTGATTTTCTAACTTTGTTGAATTATTCAAATAAGAGAATATTGGTTCTGTTAGCAGTGATCAGTTCCCCTTCTCCCTTTAAAGATTACATGATGTAAATAATACAACCTATATTAGAAATATATCTTCTTCTTTGCTTTCAGAGACATGGAAGATCAGAGGAAACAAAGGCTTAAAGACAGACAAACATCACACATCCCTGAGGCCCTGAAAGGAGGGTAACTATTTAAAAACTGTAATATTTTTTTCCGGCTGTACTTTAATACATAGAAATCACCCATCCTGAAGGCATTGTAAATTTGAGAGCAATTTCAGAAGAGAAATGCTATATTTCATGAATCGTGACTAAACTCAACACAGTGTTGCAAGAAACCTGTTTAAGCTAGTCTCTATAACTATCAGAAGATACAATGAATATTCTTTAAATAATGCTTGACCTGTGAAGACCAAACAACTGTCAATGCTTGACCTGTGAAGACCAAACACATGTCAATGTTTGACCTGTGCAGACCAAACACCTATCAATGCTTGACCTGTGCAGACAAAACACCTATCAATGCTTGACCTGTGCAGACAAAACACCTGTCAATGCTTGACCCGTGCAGACCAAACAACTGTCAATGCTTGACCCGTGCAGACCAAACACCTGTCAATGCTTCACCTGTGCAGACCAAACACCTGTCAATGCTTGACCTGTGAAGACCAAACACCTGTCAATGCTTCACCTGTGCAGACCAAACACCTGTCAATGATTCACCTGTGCAGACCAAACACCTGTCAATGATTCACCTGTGCAGACCAAACACCTGTCAATGCTTGACCCGTGCAGACCAAACACCTGTCAATGCTTGACCCGTGAAGACCAAACACCTGTCAATGCTTGACCTGTGAAGACCAAACACCTGTCAATACTTGACCTGTGAAGACCAAACACCTGTCAATGCTTGACCTGTGCAGACCAAACACCTGTCAATGCTTTACATGTGCAGACCAAACACGTGTCAATGCTTGACCTGTGCAGACCAAACACCTGTCAATGCTTGACCTGTGAAGACCAAACACTTGTCAAGTGTGTCATAAATTCCTCAGATCCAAATGAGTTTAGTTTAGAGAGGTTTCACTGTAGTATTATTTCTTTAACTTTTTTAATGAACACTGAAAAAGGCTTGTCTTGAATTATTTTATCATACAGTGCTCTATATAGTTTGCTTTCATGTAATCAGTAATAATACTTCAGGTAAACTACTAATGACCTTGACATCAATAAATTGATTGTTTGCTTAATGTCCATTGCCAAATGGTACAAGCATATTGAGCACAAATTAACTTAGGCGCTGCAAGTGGGTTGACTGGGAAAAAGGTGTAGAGAGTTTTAAATTTGCCATTTGATGCGCAGTACTCAAATTTCAAAATTCAGGTTATAAAGGGTTCGTTCTTTCTGTTTATATGTTTATATGCTTTGAATTGTTTCCAGACCCTAGCTGTGTAATAAATATTTGTATCTTGAACATTTTCACACAACCTGTTGTTCATTAATGTAAACACTTGTCCAGGGCTTCACCCATGGTAGAGATTTTAAAATATTGTCTACTATATCCACCTAGCATTCTTCTATAGATCATTTTTATACGACCGCAAAATTTCATGTCAGAGTCATCCGAAGACATTTGGTTTCCCATTGGAAATTTGAATTGAGATTATGACCATATGTTGAGGGAAAATTATTTTTTTTTAAAGGGGGGAGGTGAAAAAAAATGGGAGGGGGGACAATTTTTTTCTCATTTCAGATTTCACAATTCTTTTGCAAAAACAGGGGGGGGGGGTCAATTCGCAACAGCATAGTGTATTGCACAGAAGCAAAAAAAGGGGGGGGGGCAATTTTTTTTCCCTCAAGATTTTAGAAATTGTCAATTTTCCAAAGAAATAAATTGGGGGTCATAATTTATTTTGCTAATTCTTTGTATATAGTCTGAAAACAGATTTACTAAGTATTGCACAACAGCACAGTGTATTGCACAACAGCAAGAAATCTTCAATTGAATATAAATTCAAATCATACAACCAATTTCAAGTTCTTTGACACATTTATTCTGTGTCAGATACATATAATGTGTCAAATAATTAATTACAATCCAAATTCAGACCTGTATCAAGCTTGAATATTGTGTCCATTTTTGCCCCAACTGTTCAGGGTTGGACCTCTGCTGTCGTATCCAGCTGTGCTCGGCAAAGCAGTTTATTGTTATTGAAAAACTATGATACATTACAGAGATATTAAAGTATGGTTCAAGTTATTGATTTTTTTTTTACTTTTATAAACTTAATTATCAATACAATATGTTGCCATTTATGTTTATATAGATAATTTTTTTTTCTTTTCTATTTAATCATGCTGTACTTAAACATTTAAAAGCAATAGACAGAGGTTTTTATACGAACCGCAAAAATTTTTTTGGGATCGTATAATGGTATGATGTTGTCGTCGTCTGTGTCTGCGTCTGCGTCCGAAGACACATTGGTTTCCGGACAATAACATGAGTTTAAGTGAATGGATCTCTATAAAAATTTTTAAGAAGGTTCAATACCACAAAAGGAAGGTTGGGATTGATTTTGGGGATGATGGTCCCAACCGTTTAGGAATGAGGGGCCCAAAAGGGTTTCAGGATAATAACTTGTGTATAAGTATTTCTATTGCTCTGAAATTGTACCACAATGTTTAATACCACAAATAGAAGGTTTGGATTCATTTTAGGGGTTATGGGGCCGGGGTTATGGGGCCAACAGTTTAGGAATTAAGGGCCAAAACAAGCATTTTTCTAGTTTCCAGACAATAACTAGTGTGTAAGTGTATGGGTCTCTCTGACATTGTACCACAAGGTTCCATTTAACAAAGGGAAGGCTGGGATTGAGTTTGGGGTTAATTGCCCCAATTATGTAGGAATTAGGGGCCAAAAAAGGGCCAAAAACAAGCATTTTTATACGCCCGTTTACGGGACGTATTATGGTATACCTCTGTCCGTCCGTCCGTCCGTCTGTCCGTCCGTAGTCAACATGTCGGACATTAACTCAAAAATGCTTTAACCAATTTGCATAAAACTTTGGTGAATTGTTTATATCTATTAACGTGAGCTCCCTTTCGTTTTTTATAAATTTTAGATTTTATGTTTCCGAGTTATGGGGTTTTATTCATTAAAAAAAGGGGGATTTTCCAATTTTCGGACAATAACTCAAGAATGCTTTCACCAACTTGCAAGAAATTGTGGTGAATTGTTTATATCTATTGACATGAGCTCCCTTTCGATTTTTATAAATTTTAGATTTTACGTTTCCGAGTTATTGGGTTTTATTCATTAAAAAAGGGGGGATTTTCCAGTTTTCAGACAATAACTCAAGAATGCTTTCAGCAGTTCTTATGAAACTTTGGTGAATTGTTTATATCTATTGATGTAAGCTCCCTTTAGAATTTTATAAATTTTACATTTTACATTTCTGAGTTATGGGGTTTTATTCATTAAAAAAGGGGGATTTTCCAGTTTTCGAACAATAACTCAAGAATGCTTTCACCAACTTGCAAGAAATTGTGGTGAATTGTTTATATCTATTGACATGAGCTCCCTTTCAATTTTTATAAATTTTAGATTTTACGTTTCCAAGTTACAGGGTTTTATTAAAAAAAAGGGTGATTTTCCAGTTTTCGGACAAATACTCAAAAATGCTTTCAGCAGTTCTTATGAAAATTTGGTGAATTGTTTATATCTATTGATGTAAGCTCCCTTTAGAATTTTATAAATTTTACATTTTACATTTCTGAGTTATGGGGTTTTATTCATTTAAAAAAAAGGGGATTTTCCAATTTTCGGACAATAACTCAAAAATGCTGTCAGCAATTCTCATGAAACTTTGGTGAATTGTTTATATCTATTGATGTAAGCTCCCTTTTGATTTTCATAAATTTCTAATATGACATTGAGAATTAATTGAACTTTATTTGTTTATAGTCTGACAACAGCATTGTGCAACAGCACAGTGTATTGCACAACAGCAAGAAATCTTTAATTGAATATAAAAATTCAATTCATATAACCAATTTCAAGTTCTTTGACTACATTTATTCAGAAACCTGTAATATGTCAAACATTTAATTACAATCCAAATTCAGACCTGTATCAAGTTTGAATATTGTGTCCATTTTTGCCCCAACTGTTCAGGGTTGGACCTCTGCGGGCGTATCCAGCTGCGCTCAGCGAAGCAGTTTATTCTAGTTTCCAGACAATAACTTGTGTGTAAGTGTATGGATCTCTCTGAAATTGTACTACATGGTTCCATACTACAAAGGAAAGGCTGGGATGGAGTTTTGGGGTTATTACTCCAAGGGGGGTTTCAAAAAGTTGAGGGGGGGGGGGATTTTTTTCCCAATTTTTTTAAGGGATTCATATTTTTTTTCAAAATTTTTAAAATTTCGAATTTTTGAAAAGTTTCAAGAAGAAATCTTCAATTGCACAGTATTGGGCAATGGATTAATAAGATCTTTGACCACATTTATTTTGTGTCAGAAACCTATATTATGTCAAAAATTTGATCACAATCCAAATTCAGACAGTATCAAGCTTGAATATTGTGTCCAAATTTGCCCCAACTGTTCAGGGTTCCAATTCTGCAGTCATATCAGGCTGTGCTCAGCGAAGCATTTTATTTCATTTTCAAATACAGTAAAACCTGTATAAACTGGCCGGCTATGGGACTATGGAAAGGGTCCGGTTTGGACAGCGGGTCTGTTTATTCAGGTTTCCTTTTTAACAGGAAATTAATGACTTGTGACGTCAGATATTTTGCATGTAAAAGTTCTGTCTCATTGTAAATTGTAAACTAATAAATACAAATACCGTAAAAATCTTTTATTAAAAGTTATGTCATGATTTGTGTGAAAATATTGTGACATAAACATTACAAGTGTTCCCTGCCTTTTCACCATTTAACTATGCAGGATCGTTGTTTTGAGTCTTCGTATTCATTGGCTTAAGAAATTTCAGAAATTGGTTTGTTCCCTGATTACATATCCTAATATGTCAAAACGACCTCGGTAGCATCAGTCTCCTTCTCATTAGTTTCACTTTCACTTTGAGTTCATTGTTTTCATTTGCATTAGAATCCTCATGTTGTTTGAATTGTTCAATGAGAGTTTTGTTTTACTTCCTTTGTTCATTTCCTAAGTTGGTATAGCTGATTAAAAAGCAAGAATTTTTATCAAACGAAATTTCATCATGATCTAAACATTGTCCTACAATGTATGGTACCCATAAACTCGACAATGGAATGTCGTCATCTGGGTCTTCTTCATTATCATGGTCATTGGTTTCGGGGTTCACAACAGGGAACCCAGCATTTCGAAAACACGATGTAAATTTCTTATTTCGTGATTGGAAAAATTTATCAAAGTTACAACATAAGTTCTATCCCAGATATATTCTGCATTTCTTTTAGTTAATTTTGATTTAAAACTTAATAGTGTTCCAATTATAAAGCTCACTACTGTAAGTTTATGGTTTATCACCTTGCTAATTGATTATCCTGAAAAATTATCTTGTATAAACAATTATGTTTTGATTGCACAGTACATCGATCAATACTGTTATCATGTTAAATTAATTAAACAAACCAGTTTTGAGAGGTTATAATTAATGTAATTAAGAGTATTGGGACTGCATAATTAGACCAGAATTTGGAATACACAGGGTCAGGTTTACAAAGGGTATTTTTTACAAAGACTTTGAAAGGGGAAAATGGGACTTTAATTTTCTGCCGAAATGGACAGGAAACCGGTTTATTCAGGGTCCAGTTTACTCAGTTTTGACTAATTTAAAAACAAAGTTTTATTCATTGACAACCAACATGACTGTTTTTATTTTCAGTGGACAGGAAATGAAAGAAATCATGAATAAAGTAGAAGACTTGATTTTATTTGGTAATGCAGAAGATGTGCAGGAAGAGGGCACTGTAGCAGTGAAAGAGGAAAAATCGTAAGTTCATTTACAGCTTTATATCAATTTTCTGTTAGATACGTAAAGTTTTTAATATGGTAACAACAATTACGTCATAAACTGCAGAAAATTGAGTCATGCATGAAGATCCTGTAGAGATCATAAGACAATTCCCAAAAAAATTTTGTCTCCCGCGTAACGCGTTGAGGGGGACATGGAAATACTGGGCGTTCGTCAGTCTGTCCGGTCTTGTTAGCGCTCTCACAGGTACAATCCTTGCCAGATTTTTATAAAACTTATACTATAGGTTAATATCAGCAATATCTCGGACTAGTTTTATAATGGTGGTAGATCGACTTTTTTAAAAGAGTTATGCCCCTTGGAAATATTAAGTTTATTGAAAATGGCCTAGTTAGCACTCTCACAGGTATAATTCTTGCCAGATTTTTATAAAACTTATACTATAGGTGAATATCAGCAATATCTGGGACTAGTTTTATAATGGTGGTAGATAGACTTTTTTAAAAGAGTTATGCCCCTTGGAAATATTAAATTTATGGAAAATGGCCTTGTTAGCGCTCTCACAGGTACAATTCTTGCCAGATTTTTATAAAACTTATACTATAGGTTAATATCAGCAATATCTTGGACAAGTTTTATAATGGTGGCTGATCGACTGTTTTTAAAAGAGTTATGCCCCTTGGAAATATAAAATATGGGCAACAGGGGGGACATTGGAAATCTGTTCTTTTATATTTTTAAATACAATTCCTTATGAATAACATTACCAAAAGTAGGAATTTCCAGAAATAATAAACACCGGTAGCTGAAAAGTTTCTTTTTCATTTGGCTCAGAGTTAATATACATGTGCAACCCATAACTCATCTCAAACATATCTAGCCTAAATTAAGAAACCAAGGGAAGGCACGATTAAACCATTTCTCTATGAAAAGGAATTGATGCATGTAAATATCAACCAGACAATAAACCAATAAACTCAAAAACACAAAAAAACAATTTTAGATATCTCTAGATCTGTTCCAGAATTATATATGGGACATATATATTAAATGTAAAAAATAGTTTTAACTTTTATTTAATTGGAAAAAAAAGCTAATGACTATATCTTCATTTCCAGAAGTGCTAAGTTACAAGAATTAGACGGTCATGCCAGAGCTGCCCTGACTGCCCACAGTCTGTCAGCTTATGTCTCTACCTTAGATGAAGAACATCTAAAGACATTCACAACTAAAATTATATCAGACTGTGAACTTTGGTTGTCAAGACTTTTCAGGTATTGTACTGTTGTTATCAGACTTTGGACTTTGAACAGTCTTTTGAATTATAGGAAATGTGGGGTACTGTGGATTCATAATTATTCGTTGGATACCAATTTTTACGTGGAATTCGTGGGTACAGGGGAACCACAAATTTAAATGTTCAACAAATCACAAATTTTCTATAGACAAGTAAAATCCTGAAATTAGATATCCATGAAAATGCAAGTTTTCCTCTCCACGAAAATTGGTATCCACGAAAATAAATGAATCCACAGTATATAATATCAGTGAAACAGCAACCTTATAATACAATATAAAACTAGACATTGAGAGGTCAACAAGTGTTCATCTAAAAATCTCTTCATGTTAGTCATGGTAAAGTTGTAAATGCAGGAACAGGTTATCTTTCCTTGGAAACCACTGAATTAATCATAAGAAAGAACTTTGGGATTGAAAAAGGACTGGTATGATATATTTAAATTACTGTTAATTCTCAAATTAATGCATTCATTTATTGCGATTTTGGGAGAATGGAAAAAATATTTGAGATGAATAATTGCAATGTCAAGAAATTCTGCATACAGATATATGTGTCAGATATCAGAATGCCAGTTATTATTGCAAAACTCACCCGGTCGCATTATTTGCTTTTATAAAAACCTTGCAATAATATCTGAACTTACAGTACTGTTACAATAAAACACATCCAAATTGATGAATGTGTTAATCAATTAAAAAAACATTCTTTTTTGAAATGAAATTATAATTGTTAGCTTGTAACACCAATGAAGAATTAACAACTCCAAAAATTATATTTCATTTTCGCAGTATGATTTTTTTGCAAATGGTTTTCATAACAAAATCTTGATAGAAGTTCATAGAACCTTTTTAGCTCACCTGGCCCAAAGGGCCAAGTGAGCTTTTCTCATCACTTGGCGTCCGTCGTCCGTCGTCGGCGTTAACTTTTTACATTTTGAACTTCTTCTAGAGTACCACTGAATGGAATGAAACCAAACATGGCATGAATGTTCCTTATGAGGTGCTGACCAAGTGTTGTTACTTTGTAGCGGATCCATCATCCAAGATGGCCGCCAGCGGGGGACTTAGTTTAACATAGGACCCTATGGGAAATGCATACAAATGACTTCTTTTAGAGAACCACTGAATGGAATAAAACCAAACATGGCATGAATGTTCCTTATGAGGTGCTGACCATGTGTTGTTACTTTGTAGCCAATCCATCATCCAAGATGGCCGCCAGCGGGGGACTTAGTTTAACATAGGACCCTATGGGAAATACATACAAATGTCTTCTTTTAGAGAACCACTGAATGGAATAAAACCAAACATGACATGAATGTTCCTTATGAGGTGCTGACCAAGTGTTGTTACTTTGTAGCCGATCCATCATCCAAGATGGCCGCCAGCGGGGGACTTAGTTTAACATAGGACCCTATGGGAAATGCATACAAATGACTTCTTTTAGAGAACCACTGAGTGGAATGGAACCAAACATGGCATGAATGTTCCTTATGAGGTGCTGACCATGTGTTGTTACTTTGTAGCCGATCCATCATCCAAGATCGCCGCCATCGGGGAACTTAGTTTAACATAGGACCCTATGGGAAATGCATACAAATGACTTCTTTTAGAGAACCACTGAATGGAATGAAACCAAACATGGCATGAATGTTCCTTATGAGGTGCTGACCAAGTGTTGTTACTTTGTAGCCGATCCATCATCCAAGATGGCCGCCAGCGGGGGACTTAGTTTAACATAGGACCCTATGGGAAATGCATACAAATGACTTCTTTTAGAGAACCACTGAATGGAATAAAACCAAACATGGCATGAATGTTCCTTATGAGGTGCTGACCATGTGTTGTTACTTTGTAGCCGATCCATCATCCAAGATGGCCGCCAGCGGGGGACTTAGTTTAAAATAGGACCCTATGGGAAATGCATACAAATGACTTCTTTTAGAGAACCACTGAATGGAATAAAACCAAACATGGCATGAATGTTCCTTATGAGGTGCTGACCAAGTGTTGTTACTTTGTAGCCGATCCATCATCCAAGATGGCCGCCAGCGGGGGACTTAGTTTAACATAGGACCCTATGGGAAATGCATACAAATGACTTCTTTTAGAGAACCACTGAATGGAATGGAACCAAACATGGCATGAATGTTCCTTATGAGGTGCTGACCATGTGTTGTTACTTTGTAGCCGATCCATCATCCAAGATCGCCGCCATCGGGGAACTTAGTTTAACATAGGACCCTATGGGAAATGCATACAAATGACTTCTTTTAGAGAACCACTGAATGGAATGAAACCAAACATGGCATGAATGTTCCTTATGAGGTGCTGACCAAGTGTTGTTACTTTGTAGCCGATCCATCATCCAAGATGGCCACCAGCGGGGGACTTAGTTTAACATAGGACCCTATGGGAAATACATAAAAATGTCTTCTTTTAGAGAACCACTGAATGGAATGGAACCAAACATGGCATGAATGTTCCTTATGAGATGCTGACCAAGTGTTGTTACTTTGCAGTCGGTCCATCATCCAAGATGGCCGACAGCGGGGGACTTAGTTTAACATAGGACCCTATGGGAAATACATACAATTGTCTTCTTTTAGAGAACCACTGAATGGTATTGAACCAAACATGGCATGAATGTTCCTTATGAGTTGCTGACCAAGTGTTGTTACTTTGCAGTCGATCCATCATCCAAGATGGCCGCTAAGGGGGGGGTTAGTTTAACATAGGACCCTATGGGAAATGCATACAAATGACTTCTTTTAGAGAACCACTGAATGGAATGAAACCAAACATGGCATGAATGTTCCTTATGAGGTGCTGACCAAGTGTTGTTACTTTGTAGCCGATCCATCATCCAAGATGGCCGCCAGCGGGGGACTTAGTTTAACATAGGACCCTATGGGAAATGCATACAAATGACTTCTTTTAGAGAACCACTGAATGGAATAAAACCAAACATGGCATGAATGTTCCTTATGAGGTGCTGACCATGTGTTGTTACTTTGTAGCCGATCCATCATCCAAGATGGCCGCCAGCGGGGGACTTAGTTTAACATAGGACCCTATGGGAAATGCATACAAATGACTTCTTTTAGAGAACCACTGAATGGAATAAAACCAAACATGGCATGAATGTTCCTTATGAGGTGCTGACCAAGTGTTGTTACTTTGTAGCCGATCCATCATCCAAGATGGCCGCCAGCGGGGGACTTAGTTTAAAATAGGACCCTATAGGAAATGCATACAAATGACTTCTTTTAGAGAACCCCTGAATGGAATGGAACCAAACATGGCATGAATGTTCCTTATGAGGTGCTGACCATGTGTTGTTACTTTGTAGCCGATCCATCATCCAAGATCGCCGCCATCGGGGAACTTAGTTTAACATAGGACCCTATGGGAAATGCATACAAATGACTTCTTTTAGAGAACCACTGAATGGAATGAAACCAAACATGGCATGAATGTTCCTTATGAGGTGCTGACCAAGTGTTGTTACTTTGTAGCCGATCCATCATCCAAGATGGCCGCCAGCGGGGGACTTAGTTTAACATAGGACCCTATGGGAAATGCATACAAATGACTTCTTTCAGAGAACCACTGAATGGAATAAAACCAAACATGGCATGAATGTTCCTTATGAGGTGCTGACCATGTGTTGTTACTTTGTAGCCGATCCATCATCCAAGATGGCCGCCATTGGGGAACTTAGTTTAACATAGGACCCTATGGGAAATACATACAAATGTCTTCTTTTAGAGAACCACTGAATGGAATGAAACCAAACATGGCATGAATGTTCCTTATGAGGTGCTGACCAAGTGTTGTTACTTTGTAGCCGATCCATCATCCAAGATGGCCACCAGCGGGGGACTTAGTTTAACATAGGACCCTATGGGAAATACATAAAAATGTCTTCTTTTAGAGAACCACTGAATGGAATGGAACCAAACATGGCATGAATGTTCCTTATGAGATGCTGACCAAGTGTTGTTACTTTGCAGTCGGTCCATCATCCAAGATGGCCGACAGCGGGGGACTTAGTTTAACATAGGACCCTATGGGAAATACATACAATTGTCTTCTTTTAGAGAACCACTGAATGGTATTGAACCAAACATGGCATGAATGTTCCTTATGAGTTGCTGACCAAGTGTTGTTACTTTGCAGTCGATCCATCATCCAAGATGGCCGCTAAGGGGGGGGGGTTAGTTTAACATAGGACCCTATGGGAAATACATACAAATGTCTTCTTTTAGAGTACCACTGAATGGAATGAAACCAAACATGGCATGAATGTTCCTTATGAAGTGCTGACCAAGTGTTGCTACTTTGTTGCCGATTTACTGTTCAAGATGGCCACCAGGATATTTTATTAAATAACGGGACCAATATTAATCAAAATTTGGCCTCAATCATTATTTGGGTATCTGTTATGATTTTTATCTATCTTTACATGATTTCCAAAACCAAAGTAGAGTCAGGTGAGCGACACAGGCTCTTGAGAGCCTCTAGTTTTGTTTTGTTTCTGATTAACTTGTTTTAGTATTTTTGTTTCCATTAAAGTGAAATAGTAAGGAACTTAATGGAAAGATAAATTAACTTACATTTGATAACTCCTAGTATTGAACCATTCAATAATTCAGCAGTCAGTTTGCATGGTTATAATTAAATGATTAATCATGTTAATATTATTTTTATTCAAACTCTTCACTTGAACATCAGCTAACCAAGGGTTTGATAAAAGGAAAAGTTGGTTCTCTACATGTGTTTTCATGACATTTACTGAAATTTTAATAATTTAATTATCATATTAGATTTTGTTCAAACATTTCAAAATAAAGCTGACCTGAAAACAATTGTATTTAAACAGATTTGGAGACGCCTCTGTTGTTTATCATGAGGAAGAGATGGATGGATTGGTTAAGATTTGTAGATTGGCAATGTACCAGAAATATCCTAAGTACCCTACAGAAGGATTTGAAGCCTTGTATTCCAGACCTCCTGTTATATATGTCAGTGCATCAGCTAAACCTGGTGTGACAAATTACCTATGTTTACAAGTAAGTATTCCAGTCCTCATGTAAATCAGCACATCAATGTAACCTTCAGTCCTGGGGTAGCAAGTTATCTTTGTGTATTCCAGTCCTCATGTAAATCAGCACATCAATGTAACCTTCAGTCCTGGGGTAGCAAGTTATCTTTGTGTATTCCAGTCTTCATGTAAATCAGCATATCAATGTAACCTTCAGTCCTGGGGTAGCAAGTTATCTTTGTGTATTCCAGTCCTCATGATAATCAGCACATCAATGTAACCTTCAGTCCTGGGGTAGCAAGTTATCTTTGTGTATTCCAGTCCTCATGTAAATCAGCATATCAATGTAACCTTCAGTCCTGGGGTAGCAAGTTATCTTTGTGTATTTCAGTCCTCATGTAAATCAGCACATCAATGTAACCTTCAGTCTTGGGGTAGCAAGTTATCTTTGTGTATTCCAGTCCTCATGTAAATCAGCACATCAATGTAACCTTCAGTCTTGAGGTAGCAAGTTATCTTTGTGTATTCCAGTCCTCATGTAAATCAGCACATCAATGTAACCTTCAGTCCTGGGGTAGCAAGTTATCTTTGTGTATTCCAGTCCTCATGTAAATCAGCACATCAATGTAACCTTCAGTCTTTGGGTAGCAAGTTATCTTTGTGTATTCCAGTCCTCATGTAAATCAGCACATCAATGTAACCTTCAGTCCTGGGGTAGCAAGTTATCTTTGTGTATTCCAGTCCTCATGTAAATCAGCACATCAATGTAACCTTCAGTCCTGGGGAAGCAAGTTATCTTTGTGTATTCCAGTCCTCATGTAAATCAGCACATCAATGTAACCTTCAGTCCTGGGGTAGCAAGTTATCTTTGTGTATTCCAGTCCACATGTAAATCAGCACATCAATGTAACCTTCAGTCCTGGGGTAGCAAGTTATCTTTGTGTATTCCAGTCCTCATGTAAATCAGCACATCAATGTAACCTTCAGTCCTGGGGTAGCAAGTTATCTTTGTGTATTCCAGTCCTCATGTAAATCAGCACATCAATGTAACCTTCAGTCCTGGGGTAGCAAGTTATCTTTGTGTATTCCAGTCCTCATGTAAATCAGCACATCAATGTAACATCCAGTCCTGGGGTAGCAAGTTATCTTTGTGTATTTCAGTCCTCATGTAAATCAGCACATCAATGTAACCTTCAGTCCTGGGCACTGGTAGACCTATTTGGCAAATGACCGCGATTTTTGGATAATCTGCGCGGAACGGAAAATAATTAGAGGTTCATCGTAAATTTGCTGTGTCACAGAAAATTATGCATGTCATCCGGAGATTTACCGTGTCGGCGGGAATTTGCCGTTTGTCCGATAAAACTGGTGTGTATTGAGTCATTGATAGAACCAGTGATGCGTGAGCGACGGTTATTAATAGATCGTTGTATATAGATGTTTACATAATCCATTATACAGTGTCGACGGGAATTAGCCGTTGGTCCGATAAAACTGGTGTGTATTGAGTCGTCAATAGAACTATTGGTGCGTGAGCGACGGTTATTAATAGCTCGTTGTGATATATACAATGTTTACAGTCAGATAAAAAAAAAACTGTCTTATTACCCTTTTCAGTCGAGATAATAAAGTTACTTAATATTTAAATATCGAATTTGGTTATTGTTCAATAAAGAAAAATCTATTTTAATGTGACCGCTGAACAGGATGAATACACGCGGTAACTTTGAAATACACAACTACAAATATTCTCACCTTATAAAATTCTTCTTTATTGTCATGTTTAGAAAAGAAATCAGTTCCTGTACTAATAGTCTTATTACTGTAGATGCCGTAATCCGGCAAGATGTCACATACTGATTTGAGACTTGTTTAATAGAAAAATATATGTATATGTCCGAGGCCAGAGATCATTTAAATTTCATTGGCAAATATGAATTTTTACTACGATCTGATTTACCTGTGTGATCCATTAATCTTTATTAATGAAATGCACATTTATACTCCTAGGGTTGAAGGCATATATAAACAAAACAACATGATTCGATGAGATAACAAGTTGCGAATTGTAGTCCGAATGTGTATACTAGTATATAGGAACATTTGGACATTATTTCATATTCATAATTAATTAGTTCATCCGTCATTTGTTTTATTGAATTACTATTCAACTGTGGTTATACAAAAAGAACCGTTTATTGGAACTAAATACAATGAACCATCTGTTTATTTGATACAGGTGTCAACATTGAATTGAAGCTTTACATTTCTGACGGACAGGGGAAAGTTTTAACCTTAGTTGATATCAGGGGTCAACTGGTATAGCAGTATGTTGGTAATACACCGACCGTCGTTTCATAATATGTATATGTATTTACGCACAATGCAGTCCTTTCAAACTCGATTTCGCTAACTCGTAGGTTGTCTTTTAGACAAAAAAGTTCCATTTAAAAGATATGAAAGTTGCGTACATGTATACCTCAATGCACGTCTTGTTAACTAATCTGTTACATTGTGAAAAATAAATAAGTTATAATTAAAAGATTGGAGGGTTATTTTACATGAATAAAAGTTTTTCTGATCATTATTGTTTTTCAATTATTTTTGAGAGTGCGATCTTAAAACTAAGTTCGTCCTGACATGCATGGAATATTTGCCACTGGAAGTTAAGCAACCAACAATCACTCATCTTAAAATAAGCCTGAGAGATAATATTCTTTTAAATTTTAATTGTTAGACAGTTTCTCCGTTTATTATAAAGCACTTTCAGGTGTAATGTTAAAGTGTATATTATATACATTCCGGGATGAGATTAATTTACTATAATTGCCAACAAAAAAAAAAGAAATGATGTTACGTTTCTTTTGATTAAAAATTAGACTGTAACGAATGTAGACCGAACATTTTAAATAATGAAATAATGCACGCCAAAAATATCTGTAATCAACTTGATCTTAAACTTGACTTCGCTCACAAAAGAGAATGTTAAAAATAACTCAGATCAATTGTGTCGACTGCACGAGATTTTCCAACGGCGGGAAATATCATGTAACTATAAACACAGGTGATGTTACTGACCGATTGTGGAATGTCAATTTAGGGTTAAATTTGATGTGTAATGATTGACATTATTGTGCGCGTTAAAGTTGAGGCTCTAGAAGGTTCATTTCAATTTATAACCGAAAATCTAAAATCAAGTTTTTTTTTCAAATCAACGTTTAAGTTTTGAATCTTGTGGGAGGGAAACTTTATTTTATTTGTTTTTTAGGGGCAAAGGGGGTTACCATAAAAGTCTATAGGAAAATTAAATAAAACAATTTCGAAGGTCACAACTTGTAAACTAATGAAAACAATAATATAGCGAATTAAATAACTGTTATTAGATTGCAATAACATGACGGTTTTTTTTTGTTTCGGGAGTGGGAGTGTGATTACCTTATATACTTGAGATGTTCCATTTTCGGCATTATTTGTATTAGTTTAACTTGTTCTCGGTGGCGGATCCAGATTTTTTTATATAAGGGGAGGGGGCACTAACTGCTAATCATTCTTAAGTGATTCCCTATATAATCAACATTTATTTTCCAACAAAAAGGGGGTGGGCACCGTGCCATTCCCCCTATATAGCCGACCGAGCAATGTATAGCCAGTCAAGGTCGTTAAAAACTTCCATATATATGTATAGCCAGTCAAGGTCGTTAAAAACGCCCGGTTCTATTAGTTTCATTATATCTTCATCAGCATAACTGTATCGGGAGCATTCGAGTAAGGTAGCACTCCATAGATAGGTGTGTAGTTTCGCATGTATGACACAAGCGCTGCAGTTGGCCTAATGTATTAGAAGGCCAGGATCGGAAGATTATTAAACATTCTGTGGCTCAATTTTAATTTTATTTTCTAACTGTGAAGTGCTACCTAAGCCGTGGCCTGCAGAACCCTACTCATATTTTTAAAGGGTGTTCCAAAAGCACATTAAACCACTTCCAGCATTATACAGGTCGTGAGGTACAATTTGATGGGGAGGAGATTTCAATTGCTGTTCGTTGGGTTAATTTCCTATAACTACGAATTTTCGTTTTTTTTTCATCAGATTTGCCCGAATTGTCTATTCTGTTAACTCCATGTAGACCCTCATACGCAATGTTTTGTCTTTTTTTTACCACGAATATTTATATTTGTCAACAAATTAGACAACTTATTTAGTTATTTTTTGTATGTCGAGGATAACTTCAATGTAATTAAAAATCGATCTCTCATCGCTCCCGTTTTCTGATATCTTGTCAAGTTGATTTCCAAATGTTTTTTTTTTTATTTAAGAATTGAATGCTTCTTTTTGTAACTTCATTTGGGTGTAAAAGCGTTGGCCGAAGTACCTTTTGTATGAAGCGCGGAAGCGCTTCATTCTAAAAATGTGCGCACGGTCAATGCTTTTACACCCCTATGAAGTTACAAAAAGAAGCATCCAATACTTATAATTACATTGTTAATTAGCTAGGATCATGAAAACACGATTTTTATCATTTTTTTATTTAATTTGCCTGTGCACTTTACTGTTGGATCTCGTGTCATCATGAATGATAAATTTCATTGTGTAATGAAGTTGATTAAGGAATAACGCGAGATTTCAGTTAGCCACTAAGAATAACGTATTATAATGAAACATACATCTAATGTAATTATATATTTGTACCACTTATTTTATATTCAGATTATAAAAATAATCCCGAATACAAGTACTCCAAATCCCTGATAGCCCCCCTGAAACACCATACCTATATCAATTTAATTAATTCTTAAGACAACCATTTAACTTCAAAGGGGTGGGTGACTGCTTTTTTCCCCTCATAAAATCATATTCTGATCCCCAATTTGATGAGAGAAAAAAATATTTTGGTCAGGCAGATGACAAAAAAATATTCTGAATTCCAGATTTCCCCATACCGTTTATTTTGAGAAAAAAATTGCTTGGTAACAGTGGGGAATAACGTTGTGTTCCAAATAATTTCTGACTCAGACCAAACCCCCTAA